CCCCCCCCTTCGGGCCCTCCCGCAACCCCCTCCCGCTCGCCGCTTCCGGGGAGCCAGGCCGCCCGCACTCTCCTGTCACGGCGCCTGCGCGCGGGCCCTGGGCGGCGAGTGTGGAGAAGTCGCGCCAGGTGCTGGGCGGAAGGCGAGACCCCGGCGGCTGCCGAGCCCAACCGATGCGGTGAGGAGCGCGTGCCCTGTGGGCCGGTGCGCCCCCGTCCTCGTTCCGGGTGGCGCCGGCGTCCCGTGGCGGGATGGGGATGAGGGGACTTCCGTGCCGGGAGGTGCCCGAGTGGGGGAGGGGCCTGCAGCAGCATCCCAGGGCGGGGCCGGGCCTGGGGGAGAAGGGTCCGTGTCGGGATGGCTGCGAGCATCATGTAACTGCCCGCATGAGCTGCCTGCGTGTCCTGAGCAGCGCTGGGGCTTTTGTGCCAAATTCCAGTCACCTGTATGTAGGCCCGGCGAAATGGAGCTGTTCGGGGGTTTGTATTCATTGACATGGGGAGTGCTGATGTGTATGTTTGTTTATTTCCTAGTGAAGGATGACAGGGTGTCATCTTTGTCTTCCACGTACTACACTTGATCTTCGCCATCAAACCTTTGAATATGCACCTCAAGATAGGGTTTTTACTAGGGGTGTGAATGTATACCCCTAGTAACTGATGAGCCTGGGCTCATTGGTTAGCATGCACGGTTACATGCAGACCCCCCGCACATTAACCAAAGCAGCAGCGTGGGGGGTGGCAGGAGCTGATGCATGGAGGAAGCCCTCTTGAAATCTTTTAAATCTAGCTCCTCTCAAGCACCAGCTCCTGCCTGCTCCCCTCCTCAAGCACTGCTGCCTCTGATATAGAGGCGGCAGCAGCATGGGGGAAGAGAGGGCAGGCTGCTCTGTGGGAGCCATCTCCCCCTCTCCCGTGTATAAACATGTAACCATTGGAATTTTCAGCAGTTACACATTTACCTTAATAAACACATTTTAACATTCCTAGTTTTTACATCCGTTTTGCTTCTATCTTTTACTTTTCTATCTTTGAAGTTGTTACAGTCCTCATTAGCATTCAGCTCTCACTGGTGAGGGATCTATTGTCAGTGATACACTAGGAAATACATATGAACAGCCAGCCTAACATTGTTTGTCTAAGGCCAGATTTAAGCTATAAATAAGTAGAACCACCTACTTTCCTCAAGGTGTGAAAAAGCCACATTCTTTGTCCATGTAGTTAAGCCAACCTGTTCTGGACAGTACTAGATTTATGGAAGACTGTTTTTTTATCTATTGCCTCTTGACTATAGGGAGTGGCTACACTGAGGCCTGGTCTAAACTTCAAAATTACATTGGAATAATTATGGTTCTCAGGAGAGTGAAAAATCCACATCCCTAAGTGGCATAGTTAAGCTTTCATAAGTCCCCATGTAGACAACATTAGGATATTGGAAGAGTTTGCCCATTAGTCTTAACTACTACTGCCTGTGGGGGATCACCCTTATGCTCATGGAAGAATCTCTCCTATCAGCATTGGTAGTGTTTTACCATGTTGAAGCATTAGAAGCACCAATGTAGCCTTTCAGCTGTAAACAGACCCTGAAGTGCTATAGCTATGCCTCTATATAGTAATCCTCCAAGCCCCATGCAACAACTGTCAGAAGTTCAGGAATGGGGGCTTAGGGCTTCAGCCCCATAGGAAATGTCTGCTGTAGCGTGGGACTTTAGCCCCATTTCTGTTGAAGCCTCAGGGCCCCGCAGGTGCACCCCATGTAGCTGAAGCCCCAGGATGCCTCTACCTCAGCACTTCTTGGAAATGTAGAGGTCCCAAACTCCCCTTCAGGCTGGTAGGTGGAGAACAAGGGGTGGCAATGAGACACAGTTTAGCTGTAAAAAAGCTGCGTGCAGCTTGCAAGCCACAGTTAGGTCACTCCTGCACTGCAGGGATTAAGGGTAGATGTAGTCTCACACTAAATCTGTTTTTGACTTTAATGGTGTTTAGTCCCTAGATACCTTGTAATTTTCAGTGTGTATACAGAACTTCTCTCATCCGGTGCACCCCTTTGCATGGCAGGCTCGGATGCCCCACAGTCAGGGGCTGCTCTGGACACCTAATGTTAAACTGGTTTAACTGATTAACCAGGTTTTTATAACCCTAATCTATACATGACTTTTGCAATGATATAGATGACTATTGAGACACTAGCTTGCATTTGAGACCTCATGTGATGGTCCTTGGTGAACTAGAATATGTATGCTAGACCCAGGAGATCCCTGTAACTCTTCTGCATCTCCCTGTGTGCACTTTGCCAGTTAGCACTAAGAGGTTCCTAGGTTACAATCAGTAATTCTAAACTTTCAATATTAGCCTAGTGTTTCAGTTAGTTATAATCAATAAAGGGCAAAGATTTGTCATTTTCACTTGTGGTAAATTGTCCTGTGCCCTTCTAGTGCTCTATAAATTATGACACTTGCACTTGTGCTTACATTAGTAGGACTGCATCCAAATTTTCATCATTTTTTAGGTATGTGATTCAACAGTCAAAATGCAGTATAGTCTCAAGACCAAATATAGAGAGCTGTTTGTTTAGATGCCCATTGGGAAATCAAATAGAGTTGCCTTAGCTTACTTATTGAAACTTGTACCAAAGTTTTATCTTTCCTGATTCTAGTTTTACTGGCAAACAGACTTTGATCTCTCTTTTTTTCCTCTATTCCTGATGACTTTGAAGATAACTAGTCTTCCTCATCTGCCTGTTGCTGCTTGCAAGTTCATTTAAGTTATTACAATATAACCTAATTATATTGCATGGGAAGTAGGCTATTCCTCTGGTTTATGTAACATGATGCTCTTTCTTTGGGGACTATAATTGGTTCATAGAGTGCTTCCCCTAATTCTGTCTAAAGAAACACGGTTTAAGATAATGATGTTAGATATCAGGTAATCGAATAGTCATGGAATCATATGAAATCTGAGTGGTTATATGACTATTTGATGTCCCCAGAGGCAGGGCCAGCAACCAGTGCACTTTGGCCCCACTCCCAGGGAACCTCCTGCCACCCTGCACTGCTGCCTCTGTATCAGAGGCAGCAGTGTGGAGTGGCAGGCGGGAGCCAGTCCACCAGGGAAGCCAGTTTAAAAACCAGCTCCCCACTCAGACTGGTGCCTGCTGCCCCAGGCTGCTGCCTCTGATATGAAGAGTGGCAGCAGCCTCTATCTATGGTGCGGTTGGATTCCCCAGGGACAGGGACTGCTGCTATGGACCAGCCTGTCTGCAGAAGGCCCAGGCTCACCATGGACAGAGGTTGCTCCAGGATGTGGAACAGCCTCTGTCCATGGGGAGTTTAGCCCGCCACGAACAGAGGCTATTTCGTGGCAGCCTCTGCTAGTAGAGGCAGCAGTGTGGGGTGGGGGCAGGCAGCATGCAGAGCTGGTGCTGGGGTTAGCTCCTGCTGGTCCCCCCGCTGCCTCTGTAGGGGGGGGGCAGGTGGGTGTGTGAGAGAGCTGTGTGGGGGGCTGGCTTGAAAGCCGGCTCCCCATGCATATTGGCTCCAGCATACTTCCCTCACCCTCTGTGCTGCTGCCTCTCTGTCAGGCTTATTGGTTAATCATTAGTCATCTACATGATGACATCCCTAGTTTAAGAAGCCCATAGAATACAGATTAACTCCCCTGCCTCCCAGAAGGGAAGTACAGTAAAACTCCAATTGTCCGGCATCCAGTGGTCCGGCACTCCTGCTAGTCTGGCACCCAGAAGTGCTCCAGTCAGCAGGACTGCTGCTGCCTCTCTGTCAGGCTTATTGGTTAATCATTAGTCATCTACATGATGACATCCCTAGTTTAAGAAGCCCATAGAATACAGATTAACTCCCCTGCCTCCCAGAAGGGAAGTACAGTAAAACTCCAATTGTCCGGCATCCAGTGGTCCGGCACTCCTGCTAGTCTGGCACCCAGAAGTGCTCCAGTCAGCAGGACAATTGGCAGCCCACCCCCCTCCCCACTCCCGAACTCTGAGCCACCCAGAGTATGCATTTCAGTGCTCCAATAGCAATTTAACGGGCCTGGGACTCCGGCCACTACCGCAGTAGTGGCACCCAGTGAAACGGACCAGCAGCGGACTTGGGGAAGCCGGGGGCAGAGCAGCTGGGGTGCTGCCGGGTTGGTCCCGCAGCGCCGCCCTCTCCCACGCTGCGCAGTTCCCCGTCGACCCTTCCCCAGACTCCTCATAGCCCCCCTTCCAGTACTCCGGCATATCTGATAATCCGGCATCCCCTGGGTCCTAAAGGTGCTGGATTATCAGAAGTTTACTGTAGTTGGTGTCAGGTCATAGCTAGATAACAGTTCTGCTTAATAAATTCTCAGTCAACCTCATGTCTCTATAAAGTAAGTCCTTTGGTTCTCAAGAAATGCTTCAGTGGTTGAATGTGAAAATATAATAGTGAAAACTGCCTCTGATTTTATGCTGCTGATAAATACTGTAATAAAGCAAACTCAACTTTGTATCACATCATTTGTTGCTTTAGTTGTTGGTTTCATCATCAATGAATTGGATTTTACAGATGATTTTGGAATTTGGATTTTGCAGCTGATTGTTAGATTTAAATGGATAACAAAACAAGTTTAAATCCTTTAATGCTTTTCAGTGAGTGAACACATTTTTAATTAGGTGTTCTGCTTAATTTATGTTCTGTTAATTAGTTACCTAATAATGCTGATGTAAGAATCAATTTTCTAATGTGTGTAAAGTAGTGAAGTTAAATTCTTTCCTATTCTTATAGATAGGGTAATTCAGCAAGAGAGTTTAAGTGATTTGCCCGAAGCCAATCACAGGTGCCAAAGTCATAAGAACCAGATCAGTCCCATCCTCAGAATCATTAGTCTAGTGGTCTCCTACCATTTTCCACCTTGGACACAAAGCTCACCATGGTTTTTGGCAGGGATTCCTCCTCTTAATGGTATAATGTGACAAGTTTTATTTTTATTTCCTCTTCATTTAGCATTTTATTTGATCTAATTATGATGAAAAAATGTTCAGAAAAGGGAAAAAACGACACAGCAGCAGCAGTTCCCAAAGCAGTGAAATCAGTACTAAAAGCAAGGTAAGCTGAACTGCAGGTACAGTAAGTTTGTGGAACAGTTCCATTTCCTGTAAACCAATGGTTCCCAAACTTTTCAGTATGACGCTCCCCTTTCTGATTTTTCAAAAACCCTCACGCCCTTCCCCCTCCCAAAAGAAACTTGTTGAGGGGGGAAAAAAAAGGAACTGAGCAGGGCAGCAAAACTTGATGGGGGGGGGGGCTGGGGTGACTCGCGCCCCCCCTGGAATTTTTTCACGCCCCCCCAGTTTGGGAACCCATGCTCTAGGGCTAACAGTTTGCAAAGAGTTTGGGAACTGGATCTCCTTGTCTGCTAACCACATGTACAGAATTGTTTCTGGTGGAACGTAGTCAAAATCAAGCTATCCATGAAATATTTTAATTTCAGTAGATCGGTGAATGGACAAAAATGTGATGTGGAAAAAGTGAATAAGGAAAAGTTATTTACTTATTCCCACAATATAAGAACTAGGGGTCACCAGATGAAATTTAATAGGCAACAGGTTTAAAACAAACAAAAGGAAGTTTTTCTTCAGTCAGCGCACAGTCAACCTGTGGAACTAATTGCCAGGGGATATGGTGAAAGCTAGAACTTTAACAGGGCTCAGAAAAGAGCTAGATAAATTCTTGGAGGTTAGGTGCATCAATGGCTATTAGCCAGGATGAGTAGGAATGGTGTCCCTAGCCTGTGTTTACCTGGAGGTGGGTGGCAGGGGAGGGATCATGTGAGGATTAGCTGTTGTGTCCCCTCCCTCTGGGGCATCTGATATTGGCCACTGTTGGCAAGACAGGATACTGGGTTGGATGGACTGTTGGTCTGACCCAGTATGGCCGTTCTTATGTTCTTATCAGAATCTTAGTGAGATTTGCATTCTAAAGAAGAAAAATCATTTAGCTTCTCAGTTCATCTGAACTTCTGTTATGAAATATTTGCCATTCTTGACCAATAAAGTAACATTCCAAGTCAAATGACTAATTAAAGGGATTTTAGGCCTCAAGCTCCCCAGAATATGAGCTGTATCTTTGTCATGTACAGCATCAAGCATACTGATGTTTAATACTAAATGTTGACAGTTGACTGCCTTCATGTGGCTGGTTTATAAGAGTCTTTATTATGATGATGATGTTTGCTGAAATAAATATCAGGTTTGCTGTTTTGTCTGTGAAATGAAATATCAGAATTACTTTTTGGTTGTGTGCAGTTAGCGTGAGCTCCTTCCGTTATACAGGCATAAATCCCATTGATGTTGAGTTAGGAGTCTACTTAGAGACTACTTCACAGTGACATCAACAGAACATGAGAAAGAGGTTGTACAAAAAAATACCTACTGCTTTTTGTAATGAAGTATTAGTTATTTAGGTTCAGAGGAGAGCCATGAGAATGATTAAGGGGTTGGAAAACATGTCATATACTGATCTCCTTGAATCTTTCACTATAATTTACCTTAACAAAGAGACAAAGTTAAGGGGTTGATCCTATCACTGTTTTACCTTTGTGTTTTTAAATAAAAATTTAGTAACTGACTTTTCAGTTTAGTAGACCAATATATAATAAGATACAGCAGCAGGAAGTTGAAGCTAAATGAAAGTCAGATTGGGAAAAATGTGCAAATTCTTAATAAGGAGTGTAATTAGCTAGTGAAACAACTTGCCACAGTTGTAGATTTTCGTGCACTGGCAGTTATTTAAATCAAGACTGAATGTTTTACAAAAAGAAACACTAATTAAAAAAGAAATTATTTAGGGGAATTTCCATATCATTTGTTGTTATACGGGTGGCCATTTTAGATAAGTGTTTTTTTTCTGTCCATATAATCTATGAATTTTTCAAGAACCTCAGAGCTAGCTGTAAAAAGTGAGAGTGAACTTAATTCTTCAGAACGAACTAGCTAACTAAAAAAACTTCTCTATTTTATATTATTTCTAAAATAGTTCTTTCCTGTCTTAAAGCATGAATCCTCTGACAGCTCATAAGTACATTCTGTCAGATGGCTGGTGAATGATGACTCAGATTTTATAGGGAGTCTGTCAGAGTTGTCATTTTTTAATATAAATCTCATTGCTAAAGGTCATGTTATATCAGATATTAGTAACAAACATGCTCTTGTCAGCTCCCTAAAGGTTAAACTATTCAGTGTAAGGAAAGAAACCATGGATATAACTTTCTCAAGTTCATTTTCTCTGCTCTTTCTTCCATCTCTCTTCTCCCTATTTCAATAATGTTTGAAAACTTTTGAAACCCTTATATGGTTTACATTGGTGTAAATAAGTCAAACATACACTTTCAAGTTTTATTATATTAATTCTTTGGAGAATTAGGTCTTTTTTGGTCATGTTCCCCTGTGTCGATCTAATTTCTTTTAAATAGCTCAAGACCATCAAAGTTAGATGATTATAATGAAGAATGTAGGGGCAGAAAATCTGATGATAAATTAACATTTTCAATACTTAATTGGCATTTTTATATTTTTCCCTTTAACTAGTCTGTTGACTCCAGTCTTGGTGGACTTTCCAGATCTAGTACTGTGGCTAGTCTAGACACAGACTCCACTAAAAGTTCAGGTATGTAAGCAGTGCTGAGCCAGATTTGCTTGAAGATGGATTAATTTTATAAATGTGTGATTGTGTGTACGAGTTGGGGGAAGGAAAGAAGCGAGAAATTTAAGTTCACATTGTGTGATTGCATTCCACACTTACATGTAGTTGTTGGGCAAACCTATTAGATGGCCTACTTATTGGCACATTAGTTGCTGTTGTCTAAAATAGAATGTGATGTTTGGGACTAGAAATACCAAGGATAGAAATTAATGGGGAGGCA